TTTTTTTTTTTAAAAAAAAGTTTCTTAACACGGATCTTCTGAAAGTAAAAAAAGAAAAAAAAACCTCACCAGATGGAACGCTTTCGCTTCGTCTCTTCCTTCAGGAGCCATCTCCGGCTATGCCAGCCTGGGGGCTGTCTGTTTGTCCTCAGTTGGACAAACAGGGACTTTGCGATGTCCCTGTGACCAGCAAGGCTTTGGCTTCCCTGTCACCGTCTCTTCGGGACGGTTTAGGTCCTACCGGACCATCCAAAGACAAAAGTTTCATCGACAGACCCGGACTATTGGGTCCGTGCGATGTGTCGTCACGACGCTGGCTCCTCCCTGCATAGTTGGACAACCTTGTTATAGAGGCAAAGTTTCAGATAGTTCACATATATTATCACATTTTACCTCACAGTAAATGCTTTTATGGTTTTATTCATAAGTCTATTTTAAAGTCATCCCCCAGATCCAATTTTAAGATCAAACATATCTGACCTATTCTGGTCTCCAGAAGCACTGTGTGATAAAGAACTTTGGAAGTTGGACGGCCTTGCTGGATCAATCCCAGCGCTGTAGACTTCCACAAATAATTCCCGTTTCCACTCATCAAAGAGCTGCCCCTTGGATGACCAGGATACTTTGGGAAAATGCAAGTCTAGTTTGGAAAGTACAGCTGTGGACCTTGTTTTTTTCCTGTTTGTTCCTGATCCCCTTTTGCTTCTCCACAGAGCACGCAGTATTACGACAAGCAGTGGTCTTGCGAGTTGTTCCTGTTGGTCTCCATCAGCACGTCCGTCATCCTCATGCAGCACCTGCTCCCTGCCCGCTACTGCGACCTCCTGCATAAAGCGGCCGCACATCTGGGCTGCTGGCAGAAGGTCGACCCTTCTCTTTGCTCCAACGTGCTGCAGCATCAGTGAGTGGCCTCCATCTTTCAAAAATCCATTTCTCTGTCCTTTCAGGCAGTCAGGAACTCAGGTTGTACGAAGCAGCCTTCCTAAACTTGTCCTCTTTGAGGTTGAGGGTTCCCAATTCTCAGAATTAGCAGTTGCAGCCTGGAGGTACCGAATGCCACATTAAGCAGTGGAAGGAAAAAACAACCTGTGTCTCAAGTTTGGTCTAATCTGGTGTCTTTTTTTTAAAGCAACATTTTAACCATTTTTAAAAGTCCAACTAGCTAAATGCTACTTGGGGCCTAACAAGCTGGCATAAAGGCCAGGTCCTCCTTCTGCTCATAGCCTCTATTCCCCATTCTTTTCCCCATTTTCTATGGGGCTCCCCATGGCCCATCTAGGATCCTTTGAAAAGCGCCCACTAAATCTGAGGAGCCTTCTGGTATTAATGTCCAATTTGGGGTGGGGAACTGTCTACCATAAAAAGAAGCCTTCTGTGACGTTCGGAATTGGGCAGTGGCTGCATTTGTGTGGCACGTCTGGCCAGCCTAGTCCTTTACCTCACAGGTTTGTGTTCATAACATTAGTTTGCTTTCTATACCTGTTTGACTTGAAAAAACCCAGCCCGTTTAATTTCGGTGTGTTGCTCTAAACTTGCAGGAAGTTGTATCTCAATGCAATATGGGTAATCCTCAATTTATGACCATTATACAACCTCTTCCCATCACAGTCATAAATCATGATGATTGTAAAAATGGGTCACCCATTTGACCGACCAAATTTTATTAACTTTTTATGTGGCAGTTATTAAGTAGCCACATGGTGGTTAAACAAACAAATGGTTCACTATGGGACAGTTTTGCCAGGAACCGGAAATGCTGGTTTCCTGTGAAATCTTCATAAAATATAGTCACATGACAACAGGAGGCGGCAAAAGACTCTAAGTGTAGGACGGTTCCCAAGGGCCGCGACATGTGGTCATGTGACTGTGAGGGGGCAGCTTCAGAACCACGTTGTAAGTACCGCCAGTGGCGATACATTGTAACTTCAAATACAGGTAGTCCTTGACTTACAGAAGTTCATTTAGTGACTGTTCAATGCTAAAATGAAAAAGGGACTTGTGACCATTTTTCACACTTGTGACCATTGCAGCAACTCCACAGTCACAGGATCAAAATTCAGATGCCTGGCTAGTGACCCGTGTATGACGGTTGCAGTGTCCAGGGGTCACGTGATCCCCTCTTGTGACCTTCTGACAAGCAAAGTCGACGTGGAATGCAGATTCACTTAACCATCTTACTAACTGAACAAATGCAACAATTCACTTAACAACCGTGAAGAGAAAAGTTGTACGATGGGTCAAATTCACTTAACCAATGTTTCACTTGGCACAGAAATTTTGGGCTCAGTTGTGGTTGTGACTCCAGGATTACCTGTAGTTATGAAGTGATCGGTCAGTAGTTGCTAAATGGCTGGTCATATCCCAAGGACTACCTGCATGTGATTCTCTAGCAGTTGAAGTTTTTTTATTTGCAAGACAATCTACCACCCTTCTTATTTCCCCCACCCCCGCTCCTGAAAGACTCAAAAAAATATACCCTATTTTTCGGATTTTAAGACACACCAAGATTTTGAAGAGGTAAGGTTTTTGCACTCTACAGACCGCCCAAATCCTCTGCATGCCTCATTTTTTATAAAAAATGGGGCATGCAGTGAGTTTGAGGCTGCAAAGTGCTGCTGGGGGGGGGGGGGGGGGAACCAAAAAAAAACCAAGATTTTCACAAAAAAAGGCTGTTTTTTTGCAAAAAAAAACAAAAAACAAACCAGGGCATGCATAGATTTTGGGAGGCTTATAGAGTGCTCCTGGGGGCTGGGGAGAGGGCAAAAACGGGCAAAAAATGGCCCACATTTTGCTCGTT